GTGGGGGGTCCTCCTAACCAATATTAGAGAACATACAAATATAACAGACTATTGGCAATGATAGCAATAGTAGCACTAATCATACGCATAGTAAGAATAGCAGTCTGGGAGCTTGGTACAGATCAGATCCCTTGCTACCTGTATGCGGTTGTATAGATCGCTGCGAATGTAGTCTAAACTCCTAGTATCCCCCTTGATAACCCCTGTAGTAGTCCCCTATATAAACCCGTATATAACCCCCTTGGAGGAGTTTAGACCCTAAACCCTAAATCCTAAGCCCTAAACCCTACAATCCCCTATATAACCCTCTTTAAGGAGGTTAGATTACAGCCCCCTTTAAGGAGTTTAGACTATAGGAAATAGGGGGACCGGCTAAGGTCAGAGCCGAAAGCAGGGAGCTCAGTCTTGCACATGATCCAAGGCCCAGATGAGGATGTCAGCAGATCCTAGTTTGGGGGCGTGTAGTCCTGGTTCCGCAGCCCTGAAACAGAACCATCTGTGCTAAGGTTGCGCCATGTTGTTCCTAAATGAGCTATAGTCTAAACTCCTAAAGTGGGGTTACGTAGGGGAATATATAGGAGACTACTATAGGGGTTATTAAGGGGGGAACTAGGAGTCTAGACTATAGCTCAAATATTAGTTTCCATTGTATTTTCCTTTATTCCAATATAGCCCAAATATATACCCTTATATATCCCCTATGATGATATGGTTTCTTCCATTTTCTTTTCCATTATCCCTATATACCCTACAGAAATCCGTGAAGTGGGGCAGATATGGACAGCATCATCAAAAAGATGGGGTGCAGCAGTTCGCAAACCTCCTTTATACGGGGCCATTTTGGAGAAAGTGGCAGTTCATCACTCCTTAACGACGTAATGCAACCTTCACAGCAAAAAACTTCAAGCCCGGCCTTTCTTTGGCCTAACGGATCAGGTCTTGCAAGATGCCACGGCTGGGAGCTAAACTTCACCGCGACAAAGACACCTGTGAGCGCTTTGACTCTACATGCAGATGCAGGCAGACCTGCTACTGTACCCATTTGGGCAATATGTAATATTAGGGTTATATTGGGGTTATATTGGGGATATATTGGGGATAATGGAAAAGAAAATGGAAGCTACTATTTTTGGTTCAGGGTTAGGAGTGTGTAAGTGGTATTGCAGGTGGGCAGGCCATGTATCTGAAGGAGGATGCGCATCTGCACTTCTTGCTGAAAGATATTCAGTGGTAAACGGGCTGCCAGCTTGAATGTTGCGATGATGTTTCGAGTTTCACCGGTTCCATCGCATGCTCCTTAGAAGTCTCCCAGGCGTTGGTACATCGATGGAAGCACGTAGTGATCTTATGTGCAAGAGGAGCGACGCTCGCCAACTTTTGTAAGAAAAACATGTCAAGACGAGGCGTACTAGAGACGACTTTAGTTGGAGCGCAGGTTCGCGGTTGCACGCGGATCTGGGCCGGAGGGCATGCCTCCAAATTCTTTAATTGCAAGAGGGCTGAACACCCAAGAGAGATGTTCCCCGGAACTTTCTGAAGAATGCAAGAAAGTTTCAACATATCTCAGACTCATACTCCGCAAACCATGGAAGTTTAGGTTACGCTGTTACACTTTACACATCAGGGAGTTCGTACCCTAAACCCTACACCCTAAACCTTAAACCCTAAACCTTAAACTCTAAACCCTAAACCCTGAACCCTGAACCCTAACCCAAAACCCTAAACCCTAAGTTGGGGCATGTTGAAGCTTTCCAGCGAGAGAGCGTGCTCCGCAAGTCCCTTGGGCTGCATCTTCCATTCCCGATGGCCTCGGGACGCAGGAGCTCTCCTGGGTTACTGTTGAGGAACTTTTAAGGTTACCATCATAAGGTTTAGGGTTTAAGGTTTAAGGTTTTAGGGTCTAGGG